CCCACCCCGAGCAAGGAGAGCCCAGCCCAGGGAGCGCAGACAAGCACCCACACATGCGCCTGCCTGTGGCTGCCCCACACCATTGAGAGAGAAGAATCCTGCCTGCACACTCCTAGGGGTGCTAGCTGACGGGGGAAAAGAAAATGTAGCTGCAGCCCCTGCAGACATCCTCCTGCCTGTCCCATTCACCCAGCTCCATCCCACCCACTGTCACTGCTTCCATGGGCAGGGCACCGGTGCTGGCTGGGGAGAGACGGGCTGCCCGGGCATGCAGTCGGCTTGCAGGGAGCTAAATGAAACACGATGAGCTCACGGGAAGCCTCGGGAGGGTGGATGGGGACTGCCTGCTCACTAGCCAGGTCCAGACAAGCCAGAAGAGGCGACTAGTGGGACCCACGGCCAAGGGCTGCTGGAGATGCAAAAAGACCCCAAGGAGAGCTTGGAGACGTACTCAGAAAACAGATCTACTAGGATTCACCAGACAAGTTCCAGGTTCAGGAAATTCCCAGACCTAGAAATGGGGTTGAAGGCTGGAAATTCTCACACGTGTTTGTCTGCTTCTGCTTCCAGGATAGAAAATTAGGTTGGATGGGTCCTTGGCCTGACCTAGTACAACCACTTTTATGCTAGGAAGAGGATGAGGAGTGGAGACAGAGAGAGGAAAAGGCTTGCCTGAGGTCGCTGGTGGAGCCAGGATAAGAATGCCAGGCTCCTCAGCTCCAGGTTCATTAGCATTTTGGTATCAAGGGTAGCCAACGAGCCACACAAGACATGAAGGCCAGTTCCACTTTGATCCTCACCTTTGTCTTGAAAGAGGACATGACCACTTCTACAGGGGAAAAGAGAAATTTGGAGGCAGGGGTCCTCCTAGTCCTGCATACATCAGGATAAGCGAGATGCCTGCACATCCGCCTGACTTGAAAAGCAGCCCACGAGGGGTTCACAAGGAAGGACGGGCCTTTGTGCTGCATCATAGCGTCTCGCCTACTTAGTGTCATGGGACGGCTACTGTCACAAGTGACCGCAAGTGGTCTACGAGCACCTTTAGATGGAAGGAAGACACCTAACAAATTTGCCCCCAGTCTAAGACACAAGTTGCCTTTCAGGTTAACTTCTGCATTAGGGACTGAAACTCAACCCTACAGTGTTGACACACTGTTCATTTCAGAGCTAGCCAACCTGAGGTGATTAACACTTAGGTCCTCATCTGAGCCTCTTATGCTGCCCAACAGCCTCCAGACACTCGTGCACCTGGAGCTGACTCAGAGGGCTTTCCTCCATGGCTCCTGGTGATCTCATAGGCGCAACCAGCCCCTGTTCACCACATCTTTGCACCTCCCTTTGCCAAGCTTACCTGCCTCCCCTGATTGAGTCAACTCTCTTTTATCAACAGGCTGTTTCCTTTTAATTTCACACAGTGGGTCTTAATGTAGTTCACAAGGAATCCAGCTTCATGAACTTGCTGGTGGCATGTTGGGTTTTGGCACTCAAGGTTGTCTCATCTGATTTTATTTTTTTTTTTTATTACTATTTTTTCAAGAAGCAAGACAAAACCACTTACAGTATTCCCACCAATTTAGCACTTCTTAGGGTCTACTTATTCCTCTAACAGAACACACCTAATCCCTTCTGCTCTAAAGCACATTGCTTGCCCCAAACACATCTGCTGCGGTCTTCCTACCCGCTGACACCCTTCTGCTTGGGAAACTCATCTCCTCCAGCAGCACTGTCAGTACAGCGGTTCACTTGGACCTTGCCCAGCCCAAGTCCTTGGCTGATTTCGCTCTTGGAAGACCAGCTCTCACCATCAGGAAACTTTTCCCTTGTCCGGCTCCTCCATGTTATCCCCTTCTATCTCACTGCTATCACCCCACCTCTTCACTTCTGCTAACAAGGTATTGACACACTCTCTCTCCAGTCATTTCTGCATATTTACTTAGGTTACTCTTACCTTGTCATCCTCCACCACCCTTCAAGATCACCTCTAAAAACCTCATGAATGTGTGCCATGAAGCTACGGAAAATATATTTGCTGGGACCCTGATTTTCTAAACACACCAGATCTGGATCAAGCAGATGCCTAGCACCCTCAGTGATGCCCACCACACTCCACAGAGCAAGTATTGCTCATTGAAACCGCAGCACCATTCAGAGAAGGTCTCAGGTAAACGTGGCTAACAGAAATCTTACCTTTTAGAGCAAGCAGAAGTGTAAGTGATTGGAGGCACGAAGAGTAGTGGCGACCACCAGACACCGCAAAGAAACAGAGTTTCTTCACTGGACAACCCAGGTCTTTTAATCTGCAACATAAGAAGAGTCCTTTGGAAGATATCCTTTGCTCATTCTTCATTATGGAGATAAGAAAGCTGCTACTGCAGGGAGGCTACCACAGCAGCTGGCAAGTTTACCAGTCCTTGAGGACATGGCCATGGCAGAATTAAGCACTCCAAAGACAGACTAAATCCACATAAAAACCTGAATTTTGCCAATGGTTGATGGTGCAAGTGATAGATGTGTGAAAGCCCCAAAGCAATGGTTTTATTGATGTAACCAAGGGAGAAAACCCATTTTGGTGGCTCATGACAGATAAACGACACCAGGAGGTTGTAGCCCAGCTCACCCCTGGCACCCCCAAACCTCCCTCCACAAGGGACCTTCTGAGCTGTAATAATCTCCTGCAACTCCAGTCCTGGGCTGCTTCCATGGGGAGCCTTGCTTCTCCTTCCAGGCTCATTGAGAAACGGCTTATCTTGAGCTATTTTCTGTTTGCTTGCTCACTGTCCTTGTTGCCGCATGCATGCACCCATGCACCGCCAGCCTCTTTGAACCTGATGAGTTTCTCCTCGGGGCTGGCAGCAGACCTTTATCCTGCCACCCACAACTTCCTCGGCATGGAAAACCAGGGATCCTGCTGCACCAGTATCGTCAAACACATTGTGCAGCAATAAAGCCTGGACTTCAGTCTCTCCTCTGCCAGATGGGTGCCCTGGGCTTCTCAAAGCAGGCTCAGGGCCCCTACCCTGAGCCACCTTCTCAGTGCCAGCACAGAGGTGGTTCCCTGATGCAGTGCTATTCCCAGACAGGGAATCTATTGTATAACCCAGGATTTAAAGCATGGTGATATTACCAGCTGAGCCTTAAAAATAAATAAATGGGTTTCCTTCAGGAGATGTCACCTTCTGGCATGTTTTGGTTTTATGGCTGGTTTTGGTGGGTCTAGAGTTAGACAGCTGGGGGCAGGCCTTGCTCACGGGTGGCAAAACTCCTCAGCCAGCCAGGACCACCCAGAGCAGAGGACACCATGGAGACAGAGGCTCCACCGGACCGGACAGGCAGGGGAGCAGGCAGGGGAGCAGGCAGGGGAGCAGGCAGCCAGCGGGACACCGGGGGTCACAGGGGAGCACTGCCCTGCCCAGGTCACAGCAACGGCGGTGATGAGCCAGCAGGGCAGGGTTGGGCAGCGGCAGCAGCACAGCAAGGAAGTGCCATCGCGTCCAGCCCTGCCTCACCCACACCCTGCCTGTACCAGCGAGGGGGTGAGACAGACGGACACACACGGGGAGATGGGGGAAGAAGGCAGTGCTGTCCCACTGCGTTCCCCTCTGCCTCCATGCCCTGCAGCAGTGGCTGCTGGGCTTCATCCATGGGATTTTTTTTTTTTTACATGGCATTCCCGGGCACGCTGAAGGTATCAGTCCAGCAGCTAACTAGAAAGACCAACTAACCAGATGTGGTCCAACATGTCATGGCTATGGCAGGAGAGCACAGGACAGGGCCAGCTTGGCGCAAAAGCTGTATGTCCTCTTCTCCTTCCTCGGATCCACACGGGCATGCTAGAGCTGCCTCCTCCAGGCAGTTGCTCCCAGCACTTACTAACTCCTGACAATACCTTGTCCTACCCAGAAGCGAGAGAGAACCTGGCTCAGCAGCTCCACAAGGTCAGTTCCTCTGAACTTCAGCCTCCCCAGAGCAGTCTGTGAAGCCCCAAGACCCCCTCCTCAAGCAGCGCTCTCCCACTCTGCTGGCAGAAGCACCCCAACGATTTTTACTCAGCTGCAAAGACCCTGGCTGATAACCAGCATCGCTCTGTCCAAGTCCTTCCCATTGCCACCTGCTTGCCAGGCCCCCCTTGCCCCCTGCCAGCCTCTCACTTCTCCAGAGAGCACATGAGAGATGACGGAGCCTGAACTTGGACAGTGAGAAACACCACAAGGAATTAGAGAAGAAAAAACAAAAAGCCATCAGAGCATGGCTTGGTCACTCCTCATCAAGGTCTCTCTTCTTCCACCTTAAGGCCAAGCTCAACTCACACTAAACAAGAACATCTGAGGACGTTTCTACCTGGACTTCAAAACCTCAGTAGAAGACTTCAGTGATCTGGAAGCAGTTCTCATGCTCCTTTGGTCTGCTCCTCCCCTTGGTGTGTAATAACATGTTGCCCTCAAAAACCTCCTGTTTCAGACCACATTATACACGTGTTTCAGAGACTCAGCATAAACCTACAGAAGCAAATAGCTTCACTTAATTTGGGATTTTGCCCAGGCTTCACAGGACAAGCACTGAAGCTGCATGACCTGAAGATAAAAAAAGGCCACAGACTTTCTTCCTAAGCTGAGTATTTTAGCCCAAAAATGGTAAGAGGCTCCATACCACACAAGGTTAGCACCATCCCACCACCTGATTCTCTGCTCCTCAACTGCTACCT